AAGAAAGTTGAGACGGTTACTCATCGGCCAAGGCCAACATCCGCTATTAAGATTTGTAGTTTTCTTGGTTTAGCTGGATATTATAGACATTTTATGGAGAACTTCTCACGGATAGTCGCTTCGTTGACAAATTTGACTAAAAAAAAGCGAAGTTTGAGTGGACGGATGCATGTGAGCAAAGCTTTTAAGAGCTCAAGACTCGTTTAACCACGGCTCCGGTGTTAGCACTACCATCGAGTTCTAGTGGGTATGTGGTTTATTATGATGCATCAAGAATTAGATTAGGGTGTGTGCTAATGCAACATGGGAGAGTTATTGCCTATGCTTCTCATCAATTAAAGAATCATGAGCGGAATTACCCTACTCATGATTTAGAGATGGCAACGATTATCTTTACCTTGAAGATATGGCGACATTATTTATATGGAAGGACTTGTGAGATTTATACGGATCACAAGAGTTTAAAGTATATTTTCGAGCGAGAGGGACTTAAATTTGAGGCAAAGGCGGTGGATGGAGTTGCTAAAAGACTATGATAGTTCTATATTGTATCATCTAGGAAAAGCAAATGTGGTAGCGGATGCATTGAGTAGGAAGTCAACTCGGAGTTTGGCCCATATAGCGAGTTGAGATGAGGCCATTGATCCAAGAATTATATGAGTTACATGATCGGGGGATTCAATTAAAAATTAATGATAATGGAATATTGTTAGCTCACATGAATATACGATCGGTGCTCCTAGATCGGATCAAAGCGAATCAGAGCTAAGGATGAGCAACTAAAGAAGATTAGAGATGGAGTTGTTAAGGGTGACGGAAAGGAGTTTATGATGGATAGTGATGGTGTACTCGACTTGGTGTTAGGCTATGTTTTTTCGATATAGAGGATTTGAGGAGAGAGATTATGGAAGAAGCACATCGACTACATACACGGTACATCCTAGTTCAACTAAGATGTATCAAGATTTGAAAGGAGTGTATTGGTGGAGTGGAATGAAGAGAGACATTACAGATTTTGTGTCTAAATGTCTAGTGTGCTAACAAGTGAAGTTTGAGCACCAAAAGCCTTCGAATTACTTCGGGAGTTGCCTTTACCAAAATGAAAGTGGAAAAAGGTAACAATGGATTTTATGGTAGGGTTACCTCGTATTGCTAAGGGTTATGACTCAATATGGGTGATTGTGGATAGGTTGACGAAGTCGACTCACTTTATTCCAATGAAGACTACTTACATAGTAGCTCGGTATGCTCAACTATATATTGATAAAATAATGAGCCTTCATGGAGTACCTGTGTCTATAGTGTCGGATAGGGGCACACAATTTACATCACGAGTTTTGAAGGAAAGTCCAAGAAACATTGGGTACTCGACTTGACTTTAATATCGCTTTTCATCCACGGACGGATGGTCGGTCGGAGCTTACAATCCGGACACTAGAGGACATGTTCGAGCATGTGTTATGGATTTCGAAGGTAATTGGGAGCATCATTTGCCTTTAATTGAGTTTGCCTATAATAATAATTATCGATCTAGCATTGAAATGGCTCCATATGAGGCTTTATACAACGGAAGATGTAGGTCTCCTATCTGTTGGGAAGAAGTGAGGGATAGAAAGTTGTTGGGTCCGTAAATGATACGGTTGACTACGGAGAAGGTAGCATTAATCGGGGAGCGTCTTAGGACGGCTCACGGTAGGTAAAACGAGTTATGCGGATTCAAAGAGAAAACATCTTGAATTCAACGTTGGTGATCATGTATTTCTTAAGTTGTCACCAATGAGGGGGATCATGCGGGTTGGAAATAAAAGAAAATTATTTCCTAGATACATCTGGACCATTCGAAATACTTGGAGAGGGTGAGAGTAGTAGCTTATAGATTGGCTCTTCCACCGGACTTTCCAAGAGTCCACCCGGTATTTCATGTATCTATGTTAAGAAAGTATGTGGAGGATCCTTCACATGTAATTGAACCGCAAACTATTGAGCTAAGCGAGGATTTGAGTTATATGGAGCAAGTAATTGCAATTGTGGATCGTCGGGTTAGAAAAATTAGGTCTAAAGAGATTATTTTAGTTAAGGTTCAATTGAGAAATCATTCGTTAAGGAGGGCACGTGGGAATCGGAAGACGAAATACGAGACAAGTATCCACATCTATTTCGCATTCAAGGTATGTAGTCATTTCAAAATTCGAGGACGAATTTTTTTTTAGAGAGAGAGAATGTAATGCCCATAAAACCAATAAGTGACTTAAATAAGGTTTTTAAATGAGGGGCATTAGGGTAATTTAAAAGAAAAGAAAAAAAGAAACAAAAGGGAAGAATTGACATAATGGTTTTAGAAACAAAGGAAAGAAGAACGGGATAGGGAGAAGAGAAAGAAAAAGAAGAAGAGAAGGAAGGGAAAAGGAAGGAAAGAAAGGAGACGAGTTGTTGGTGGCCACCCACTCCGATGACGACAATAGTGGAGTAATTTAGGTAAGAAAAAGAAAAATAAAGATAAAAAGAGGTGGAATAAGGAAGAAGGAAAAAGATTTATCAAGTTAGTTTTTGAATTTTTTTTAATGTTTTAGTTAATTATAACATTAATTAGGATGGGTTATAGGTAATTTAGTGAATTTCATCTTGAATTGAGAATTAGAATTATGGATTAGGTTTGATTAAAATTAGGGTTTATGTTAGTTTAAGAAATTTAAGAAAAGTGAGTGAAAGGGTAATTTAGGGTTCAATTAAGCTTGAATTTTAATTTATTAGTGTCTAATGATTGTTATTTATAATAAATGTAAATTTATGATGATAGAGGTAAGAGAGGATTTGGTGGAAGAAGCTACTTAAGGAAGAGATAATTGTAATTTAGGGTGTTTCTCTAGATTAGAGGTAAGTATAGCACATATTATGAGTCTTTACTATCATATATGTATATATTGCTTGTGAAGTGAAAAATTGATTGTATTGATAAATGCTTCATTAGTACAAATAATTATATATGAGTTGAATTATTTTAGTAGGGGTGTTCTTACTATAAGCTAAATGAATTGAATTGGTATGTTGCCATATGAATTGTGGTTATTAAAGAGAATATTGGTACATTGAATGGTATATGTGCATATTGATATGATGATCACTTACATTAAATGGAATTATGTGATTGATATGTACTTGAATGAGAATAATGATAATAATGACTTGAAAGAAGTCTATGCAGAACTAACTAAGCTAACGGGGTTATAGTTAGCCTAGGTGCACCTAGTATTGTCGGCTAGGGAATAGTCGCAATGCTTCCCTCGAGTTCACCCTGCGGGGGCCATAGTTTACCTTTTGAGGGCCGAGTTCACCCTTGCGGGGGCCATAATTACCCTTTTGAGGGCCAAAGGAATAGACGAGTTCTACATAGAGTGATTTTAAGTAATTGTTATGCTATTATTAATTGTTAAGAAAGAAAGAAAAAGAAAAAATTATTGATTGCTTGCTTGGTTGCAAATCATATATGATAGGTGCATTGACATAATTGTATGTATAGCGATTTATAATATGTGTTATGCTTACCGAGTTTTGAAAACTCACCCACCGACCTCAAATGTTTTGTAGATAATACGAAGCTAGATAACGAGATACGAAGCTAGATCATAGAAGGAGGACGATAGATTTTTTAGATTTGAAGGTACTACTCGGATATTATTTTGCTTTCTCCGGGTATAGGACATGGTCGTTTCAAATTTATACTCATTGTCCATTTTGGAATTGTAATTAGTATTATATATTTTATTTCACTTAGTTGCTCGCTTGTAGCATCACCAAATCCGGGGATAGCTAGTTAAGGGTCTCCATGTTTTGTATTTGGATGGTTAAATGGTGATTTATGAATTTTATTATGTTAAATATTGGATTATGTGTTTGTTAGTCAATTTAGTAAATACTAAGATTTATGAGGAAGTGTGGATGTCCAATGGAGGGACTTGATGATAATTGAGAATTGATGAAGATGATTTGAAAGTGTATATATATTGTGATTTTTACGCGGATATATATTATTATTGGAACCCTCCAATTATAGGGAAAATGCTCGCTGAAATTTCGTAGAAAATAGAGAAAGGATTAAGGCTCATGTAGCACTGTGGTGGGTCACCCCACCCCGAGCCCCGAGCTATGTGCCGTTCGCGGCTCGCCGGTTCGGGTCGTGATAGCATGGGAGCTTTAAACCATTACAATTTGTGAGGTCTTTGTGGTAGAAGCCATTTCCTCACACACATGGTCAAACATCCGGTTCTCGGTGCAATTGGTTATGACTTAATTTATTTTCTTGAGTTCCTTTGTTATTCAAATCCCTTAGCTCGTTTCCTTTGAAGATTTTCCACCACTAGAAAGGTGGCCAAGGGAGAAATCCTTAGAAATATTGATGTTTTTTGAAACAATTTAATACGAGTTGGAGTTTTAGAAAATAGACACCATTGAAATGATTTGTGATGATAATTCTTCTATGACATCATGATTTAAATATTAGTATATAAGACTTTTACTTAAATGTATACACTCGTTAATGTATTCATGATATCGATTATCGCAATTGTTATTTTACTACCACGGTAAGCCAAAATCTACAATCGCGACTGTTTTTCTAACCTAAGACCATTATTTAAAACTATGGTGTATTCTCCCATTTTTATCCTCCCTTCTTGATTCTTCTTCCACTTCCTAAGCTCAAAACTTGTCAGACTGATGGAGCTACCTACTGATATACCTCATCTTCCCAGGCTTTCTTAAGTTGAATAAAACAAGTATCTGCTTGACCAATTGCAAATCGTAATAAGCAGCGTACTTTGGGGATATTAGCTGCTAAGCGCCAAGCTATTCAAACTGCTCAACATACGAGCAATTCTTTGACAAATCCATCAACATTCTTCTTCATTGATCCATCAAGTCATCTTCATCCTGTCCTGCACAGATCATTACAAATTTTAAACAAATATAATAAATACATACCTTTCAGAACAGAATCTTGCTAGTTATTTTGAATTGATGGCTCTCTGCTTTAGGATCTGCTCCATTAGCTTTGCAACATTTGCAACTTTTTGACGGAATTTCTTCCTCATCCTAAACCTCTTTAATACATTTCCGGCGCAGTAAATAAAATAAATGGGGCAACACAACCATTGGCTTGCCCTGGCACTAAAAATGATCACAAATTCATTCGGTCTTCATTGTGTCTGTTCATGTAAACGCAAAAGTAGAAACACAGCCATTGCAGGGCACATATTGGTTTCTTGACAAGAGAAGCATAGATTAGAGAACAAAGTCTTACGATAGGATGCATGCCAAAGCTCCCCTAACAGTCTTAACCCTTTCTCAAGTTCTCAATAAGAAAATTCAGTATGAGATCTCTGAACAATGATCCAATATGCCATTGCATCTCACTAGCCTTGAAATCAATCAATTCAGAACCTAAGAACTTGAAGTGAAATTTATCCTATCAAGTGGAGACAGATGGACCTTTCCCCTGCCAATTTATACTCTCATTTATTTCCTTGTCCTCTCTTTCAGTTCTATTCCTTTTATCAGAAAGCGTTTCTCAACTTGGTAAATAGCAACTGCATGCCTTTTTCAATTGCAAAATGGTATGAAGATTTTGGTTAGAGGCCAATTTGAAGGGGATGAAATCCTATAATGAAGAAACCATCTTACTTTGGGGATAACAGCAACCAAGCTCTTCAAAATTGATTCAATATAACGTAGGCACATCTGGAGACATTTTTCAAGGACCATAAAATCATTCTCTCCTAACCAAATTAAACCACGATTTAAGAGCAACAACAACAATAATGAAAAATAATAATAATAAGACCACCTTCAAGAGATGTAACACTGAATTCCCCTACTTTATAAGGATGGCAAATGTAGTTTGGCTACTTCATTGGGCCGATCGGGAAAGGGATGAACCTTTTGACAGTATTTATCTGTCTGAATCAAGAATAAGAGCAAAAGTAGCTTATCCAGAACCAGAGTGGATTGCGATATAAAGAGAGCATTCAGTTGAAGTGTACTGCTAACTTCAAACAATATGCCAAAAAAGAAAAATCTATCTAGAGTAGCATAAAAGAGACATACCTTTCAGAAATGTTTTGAAGGAAAAATTGCTAGTTACCTTGATCACAAAACTGGTTGCTTTAGAATCTGCTCGCTAGCTTTCTCAGGATTTGAACTCTTTGCAGGAAATCCTTCGTCATCTGAAACCTTTTCAAAATTGTTTTCCTGTAAAATAAACAAATTCGATCGGACAAGAAAACCATTGGCAAGCACCACTTTACTAAATGATCACAAGTTCATCCAATCTCGCCGCTGCAAACATGCTCACACACATGGTGCTGTCTAGGCTTCTAAGTTCGTCTAATCAAGTAAACGGAAAAGTAGAAACATGTCTTTTGTTGGAAAGAATTGGTTTTCAACAAGTAAACAGAAAAGACAAAGGCCACAGTATTCATTTACTTGTATACGAAGACAAGCTAGAGAACAATAATGCGAAAAAAAAGGTCTTGCAATTGAATGACAACAGGCTCAGTCTTACCCCTGTCTTCTTTATAAAGCAATTTCGATCAGTCCTGAACACCTTGCTAGCATTATTGCATCTCTCTGGATGTGAAATTTAAACAGTTATGGCTAAATTGAAATCATTCCCATTGGTGTCATGTCTAAAAATATGCATACAGTTAGTTATTAAAACATAAGTATTATAAGATCCTTGCATCAAGTCTGTCAGTACTAAGATAAGTGATTTGAATTGACTTCTGTGATCTAACAGTTACTGAAAAGGAGAGAGAGGATTCCTATTCCACATGTAAAAAGGCCTACAGCTTCAAAATTCTATTAGCAGACACTAATAATGCATTACCGACAATTTAATTGTCAAAATAAAATTAGAGAACCGATGGAAAGATTTTTCCTCATGCTTTAAGAGCAGATGTTGCATAGCACCTCACAGATTCATTCGTACATTTATTCAGTAATGGTTCCAGGACCAAAAAACTAGCAATAACATAAGAGCCTAACCATCGAAGGCCTAACTCATTAAAGGAAGAAATGATGATATTTTGATGAAATTGATTCAATATTTATCTTTTCACCGACAATATTTTATCCTCCTTAAAGAAAGGAAATGTTATTGTATAAGAACAAACAAAATTATAAAAAGTAAGAAACAAGAAGAAGATATAATTTATACATACTGATACATTCAAGTCTAACGAAAACCACTTTGATACTGCACTCAAATAAATATCAGATTCCTTTTGCAGGCAACATCATCACATCAGAGAATAAAAAATTCATCATCCACAAACAGACGCAAAATGTTACATAGCATACGAAAGATTTTTTAGGGTATTTCAGAAATTATAATCATGGGAAGTTCTGTAATCAATGAATACAATGAGCATTCAACGCACATAATTCAATAAAGACTTGTCCACAATATTAACATTGGTTAATTCTCTTTGACAACTTTGTTTACAATTAATCTAGCTAAGACCAAATCAACCTTTACATTCTTGAAAACTATGCCAACTTTGAACTCTATCCACTCATCATTGTATGGAATTCCATGCAATGTATTTTAGATGGGTCGGACTACCGATATATTGCATGAGCTGTGAGCCCGACTCTACCAGTTCTTCACAACCTTATTCTTTTTACAACCACTTTGATCATTCATAACGAAGCAACTTTTATTTACATCTTTTGCTTTTGGAGTATTTTCCCTTTTTTAAGTTTGGGAAGGGAAACTATCTGAGGGTAAACCTGCGCAACGGACTAAGCTTTTCATCCACTTTCTTTTTCACAGGCTTTGACTAAAGTTGAAACTAAGATAAAATAAACAAATAACCATTTATTAAGTTCTATATGACTTTTTTTTTTAGTCATCGACTTTTGGAATATTATTATTAATTCTGTCCAATAAAAGAACGTCATCTTGGACTACAAGTAAAAAAAAAAAATACAGATAATTCATTTTCTACATTAAAATTGGTTAATTCTCTTTGACAACTTTGTTTACAATTAATCTAGCAGCTAAGACCAAGCCAACCTTTACATTCTTGAAAACTATGCCAACTTTCAACTCTATCCTCTCATCATTGTATGGAATTCCATAAAGTATATGTGTCAATTTCTAAAATGCAGATACATAAATTCTCCTAACTTAGGAAATTGTTGACATAAAAACTCGAACAGTAGACATACTGTGAATCGACAATGTATAAACAATTCGCTCAAGAAATTATAAAGCAGAATAAACAAGGAACCGAACTGATCGAATAAAACAGAACAGAGCATCGACAAACATGAAGCCTTGTAAACCTTGTCCTCTAGTGCCCTAGTTCATCTCATCTCCTCTTTCGCATAAGGCGGTGGTTTCAAACCCCACCTCCGATGAAACTCTGCCCTTCTTTCTGGGTCTCCAAGAACCTCAACAGCCCTAGAGATGATCTGATAGGCTACTTTGCCTGCAACCGAACAATCATTGTCAAGACATATCAACTTCCCCATTCGGCAAAACCTACTCAAGATCTTCCCCTCCGACACCCAGTAATTATCAATCCCGAGCACGTTGTACCAATTAATCTCGCCGAATCTATTCAGTAGCGTAGCAGCATGTACGCGATACGTAGCGACGTATCTGTGAGGACAGCCATTCCCAAATGATGGATCCACTAACAAAGCAAGTTTGGCCACATCATAGGCCTCTTTGAACCTATTTTCCAAGAACTCCCTCTCTGCAAAATCCAACAATATTTCCACTATCTTACGCGAATCTCTAAGAAGTGCCACTAGAGCTCTGGAAATAAGTTCGAACGCTCCTTGTGCAGCCGCGCAAGAATTGTAATCAGGATGTATTATTTTCAAGATCTTGCAAAACCTAACCATGATTTCTTTGCGCGATGCCTTGATATCATTGATCCCTAGTACGCGGTGCCAGTCAGTATCGCCAGTGAGACGGTTCTTGTACAGTGACGATGCGTGGACTTGGTAAACTGTAAGATGTTTCTCAATACAGCCATTGCCAAAAAAGGGGTCGAGGTTTTTAGCGAGCATGGCAGTATCATAGGCCGCTCTAAACTTTTTGTCGAAGAACTGTTCCTCGGCATAACCAAGCATCAAATCAGTCATTTTTACGGCTGTGAAAGCTAGGGTTTTCGGATTCTTGAAAATCAAGAAGAAGCGAGTCACTCAGTAGAAGCACGGTGGTGGTGGAGATAGGGTTTTCGGATTCTTGCAACCAAGAAGAAGCACTGTGGTGGCGAAGGATAGGGTTTTCGGATTCTTGAAATCAAGTAGAAGTGAGTCACTCAGTAGAAGCACAATGGTGGTAGAGGATAGAGTTTTGGGATTCTTGAAAAGTTGATGGAATGCTTTGGGAGAGACAGCGGCAGAAGAACGCTGGGAAATAATATATAGATACTAACGGATTCTAGAGTCGGTCATATTAATACATGCCCTGCGGCCAGGGAATGGAAAGTCCATAAATTAAGACTGAGCTCAACTTTCCGACTGTCGTCTAGCATTAATTCTTCCTCTATTGCTTTAATTACATAATTTGCTGCTTAATTATCATCCAAGATTTTAATTTAAGGTGCATGCATGCATGCTTATAAATGTGCAATAGCATTCATAATTATTGAATTTGCATGAAACTAGTACAAATCATCAAAAAAATTTATAATACAATAAAATAATTAGTAGCATATATAGTAATTACTTTATGGATCTATTTTGAGGAGAAAGAAATAAGAAAGAGAAAATTTATAAAAAAAAAAAATTGAACAAATGTGAAAATCTTTTTATCATTTTTAGTAGATTCGGATGTGATTCAATATATTTTTATCTCCCATTTAAGTGGATCTATGAAATAACTACCGCACATGCCACTAATTATAATTTTTTTTCAAATTATCTTGTGAAAAATATGTATACGTTTTTTAACGTTGATTAGTCCATGCATGAAACTAGGACAAATTATAATAATTCGAAAAGAAAATGATATGTAACCTAATTAAGCAGCAAAACGAAGGAAAAAAGACAAGGGTGGGTGAATTGTAACAAGAAAGCATCATTTCTAATAACATTTTAATTATTATAAACATAGTTAAAAATTAAAACAATATTATTCATATCATGTTATTATTAAAAAGTTTCATGCCTTTTTTTCATAAATAAAAAGAGATATAAAGCTTCATTTTTTTTCTTGCAATGCAAGTAAATAATTTTTTCAATTAAAAAAATATTTTTTTATTTATATTTAAAGGTAAAGTTAGTTTGAATACAAATATAATCTATTAAAAAAGGATTTGGATTACTTATATTTATTAATATATACTTAATAAATAAAACTTGATACAACATTGGATCTCATGTATTAATATTTATATATTATAAAATTAATATGTCTCCTCCTACCGAAATTACTATTATATTATAATATTTTTTAATTAATTTTTTTTCTAAAAACTCTTATATATATATAACAACAATTTCAATTTGATAAATTTAATTTTATTTAATTTTAATCATTTTAAATTTTAATTATTGAAATTATTGACCTAATAAAAGCACTTTTAAAGTTTTGATAGTAAAAATAAAGTGTCGATGAATTGCTATATAGTCTAAGGGTAATTTAAGAACCTTATTTTATATTATTTAAGGCTTTATGTGATTGTATAAATAGGCATATTGAAAAAGAAAAGGATTAAGCTATTTTTATGAATTATCAATGTTTTAGAATCTTTCTGAAGATCGAAGAGATTAATAGAAAAACGAGCCGACATGTATATATATGTGTGTGTGTGTGTGTGTGTGTGTGTTTGTTGTGTTATCATATACATATAAATAAATAAATATTTTTTGTTATATGGAGTATGAGTCTTTTTAATTTTTGAGTTATAGATTTTTTTAATATAAGACGATATATTTAGTATTTGTCAATAATTTTTTTAATACTTGTGATGGTTCTTATAATTAAAGGATATTTTTGTGGGACAAATATATATTCTAATATACGTACGTAGATTCTATCAATTTTTAAAATATTTTCCCATTTGGAACTTTTAGTTTATTTCTTTGACATACTTTTGAAATGGAAATTAATTAATTTATAAGTTACTACAATGCAATCTTTTCCTCTCAAAAATACCAACAATAAAAAGTAACAAAACCACCTGACCACATTAAATAAAAAAAAATTGTCTCTGCTGATCTAGTATAAAAATTTTAAATTTAATCTCAGTTGGTCTAAAAATATCCCTTGAAATATAATATAATATAAAAAGTAAAAATTTTGTTTCGTTAAAAATATCATATCAAGATTCAATTACGTATCCCTTGAAAATATTTGTTAAAAAGTAAAATTCTTATGAAGTTTTTATTCCTGCCATGCATAGTTCAATTTTGATCGGACTGAAAAACTAAATTCAATCACGATGCATGAAAACTAATCCGAAGATGACCCCGACCATAACATCAAAAGGCTGAATTATTATTATTATTATTATTTCTAATGCCACTGCATATAGGATATATGGATATTCCAAAATATCATTTGTATCTATTAAATTTTAGGATTTTATTTTATGCATTTATAAGAATTTTAGTTTGCTATTGACATATGAAATAATTAATCTAACCACACGTACACTTATATTTTTTTCATAATCTAAAGGCACAAAATGTCGTTTTGCATTTTGTTGGCTTATATGTTATATATGTAATACCTAATTTGAAATTAAACCTAATTTCTTATATATATATATAAGAATTCTCTCTTCTCCACACCGTTTTACACTTTTAGACTCTTGTTTTTTCCTAGTTTGTTACCATTTCTTTACTCTTGGTCTCGTTCTTCTATCTTTATTTTAGAGCGGGAAAAGTTTGGAGAATGAAAGCATACGAAAGAAATGATTTGGAGATTTTTTTTTCCAAATTACTTTGTTATTTTTCATTTTGATATTTCATATTCTTCTGTTAATGTGTGTGTGTGTTTTTTTTTTAATCGCCTCTCATTAATAGGGTTTTTCTTATAATTTTTTTATTATTATTATCATTAGATTGGATTGGTCAAGAAAAACATAATCTATCTCTAGTTTTTATGGTTTTTTAGGTTTTATTTTTTATATCATTGAGGATTGTTCTTTAGTTACTCTAATCTTAGAGGATGATTCATTTAGTTATTGCAAGTTTGGAGTTAAGACTCAATAAAATTTTATTAAATTTTCTAAATGTACAAAATCTATCTAAAAGATGCTCTTTCAAAATTGTCCGAAGAAAATTTAATCTTAATTAATGTAAATTGATCCGAAAATACATTTATCGTCTCTCCTATTGATTTAACTCGTCAACTAATTGCATGCACCATGTACGTCTGATTATGTATATATAAATTAATAACTCTTTTAGTTTGACGACATCCAATTCCTATCCCTATGCTTGTTCCAAAATCCACATCTAAGTTCAATTATTCTTTTTTTATCTTAATTTCTGTTTATATTATACCTAGGTAGTAAACAAACTTACTCAATCAGATTTGACTATTTTAGGGTTACATATCAGTTGAAACAAAGAAAGACAAGGCAAAAGAATTCAAAAGTAAAAAGTAATATATCCCACATCTTCATGTAAGGTGATGTTTGGTATAGGGTTAAAAAGGTAAAAAGATAAAGTATTACAGGAATAATTATAACAAGAATTTTTTTTAACCATATAAAGTTGGTTTATAAAGATGTTCAACGTATTTACATATTGAAGGGTTACATGTTAGTGAAAGTGAAAGAAAATAATCAAATTATTAGTAATGTTCGATGAAAAAAAAATTCATTTGGTGTGTATTTTAAGACAAAAAAGTTAACTTTTAAATAAATAGGTCGTAGTAATTAATTTAAATCATTCACATGAAACATAAATAAATAATATTCTATGACCAAAAAAAACAAGAAATGGTTTTTTCAAAGACACCTAAGTGCCCTGCCAATCCATATCCAGCACAAGCACAATACTCTTGTGCCAGAGGAAGTACAATAATATTCCCCCTTCTCTCTCTTTTCAATTTACAGGAGCATATGTTCTAGGCATAGAGCAATGCTATTTCTGCTGACAAAATAACCTTATTTTCCTAAAGGAAAAGGATCTAAAGATGCAGTCTTCTCCATCTCTACAATACACACCCGAATTCATATGGTGATCATAACATCAATTTTAAAATCTTTAATACTTGAACATTTGATATTTGGGTGAACAAAGTACAACAAACTAACATATGAATAAAAGTGTATATGATCAATTTTTTCTTAAAAATTAAGTAATTTTGCTAATTTTTTATATGTGCTAATCCATGTTATTTTGCTTTTTGATTTTGACATGGATGCAAACTACATTACAAATGGATTGGATTGAGAATTAACATCACTTAGCATAAGGTCTTGGATCGCAAATATGGAAACAGATATTCGACAAAATCAATATTCATGCCTTTTCAATTGAGATGTATTAGCCAGATTGACTTGATGGGTTCAGAATAGAATATGCTAAAGAAATGTTTAAATGCTACTTTCTTCGGTGTTTACCAAAGTTGGAGTTGTTTATTTTTAAAAAACTTAAATCTTTCAAGCTATATTTGGTCATCTAAATTTGAATAGCTTGGCATGATCTTAGCAATCAAGAGCATCTTTTTTTATTGTAAATATCAACCTTACATCATTGTAAGAAATAAAAACTTTCATGTTAAAAAACTTTTATACTTCAAAACTTTTGATTTCTAGTTTTTTTTTTAAAAAAAAAAAAAAGAAAAAGAAAAAAAGAGAGACCTTTTGAACTCTTCATCTAAAAACTCTCACACTTACACATTAAAAACATTACATGTTAAACTTTGACTATTTATCTATCAATCATTACTTATACAAGTACCAATATTAATTTTCTACATCTTAAGTGGTTTGTCAACTGATCATCTGATCAATTCTCAAAAAAATATTTGCTAACATGTGAATTTTCATTTCGAGCAATCCTCCTATATATCTAATCCCTACACAATCTTTGTTTCTAGAACCCTCTTACTCATTATAGACCAGTACTTCTTTAGTGCAATGAATTACTTCTTTAGTGCAATGAATTACTTCCCCCAAACCAGATACCCACATACCAAAAAAGCTGTCCATTGCCATCAACATAACGTATTAGTTGTTGCCAGCGGCTATCAGGGAGGTTGGCGAGCTTACAGATCAGCAAAAAAATAAATTAAAAAAAAAAAATCGTCGTATGCTATCTATGGTCACAAAGAACTTAAATAACTGGCCTACTAAGAGTAATTGATTTTAGTTTTTTTTTCAATTCTTGCCAGCTATTTTCTGTTATAAAAATTTTATAATTTTTATTTTATTTTTTCTTATAAATATGAGTAAAACCCATTTATTATTCCATATGAATTAAAAACTGTCACACGTAGTAAATTTCAAATTTCAACCACATCACCATAAAATAAAATAAAAAAATCAAATTTTGAACATTCAAACAAAAAAAAATAATCACAGACTAGACACTGAATTTTTTTTTCCTAAATAATTTAAGTAAGACCTACATTTATCACGTATGAGTTAAAAACTATCAGTTCATCACAAACACATCAGTATTTTTAAATCTCAACTAATTATAGATACTCAAAAAAAAAATCAAAATTTACACACTTAAATAGAAAGATTTACTGATTAAATAGTTGAATAGAAAAAAGAAATAAAAAATTAAGCACTTAAATTATAGTTTTCCTGCAGTATCTATCGGAAATTATAATATATGGTCCCCCTTGATTAAAATATCATAAATGTTGTACAGAGTTATCAGGCACAAAAGTATTTATATATCAGAATCCATAGAAGCAAAATTGCACCTATGACATACAAAAATGATGGGGGAATTTTGAAAAAAAGAAAAAAAAATTAAAACTCTAATAATAAGGAAGCAAAAAAAAAAAAAAAAAAAAACGATAACTGGATTTCAAGGACTCCTTGAATCCATTGTTCTTTCTGGGGCAAGCAGTAAGAACCCGGTATTGAGGACCAATAGTCTTATGTACACAAACGCCCTCTTTTCTCTTCTAAAGATTCTGAAGTATAGAATTTGGAATAAGCAAATGCTCCATGATGTGGGTTTTGCAGAAACTCACCCATCAACAATGCAATGAAAGTATGAATTGTCAATTGGAATCAGTCTGCGCCTGCTTAGTATCTGGAACCTGAAGAAGCAGACAGTGGACGAGTAGGTGGCAACCGATTAGGAGTACGACGGCTGCTGGAGTTTGGACCGGAGATGACATCACCATTCTGTGTTGTATTGTTGTAATGCCGACTGTGACCATTTGATGCAGGTCTTGACAAGTTGCCATAGTCCACAGCCCCACTGGCAGCTGCATCAAATGCCGATCTCCAGTCATCGCCAGCTGAACCATTTGTCTTTGGGCTTGGGCTGCTCTCTGCAATTAGGATAGTCCAAGGATTTAAAGGACATTAATAATAATGCCAAACTACTGCCCAAAAAAAAAAAAAAAAAATCTAACTTCTGAGTCATCTTGGTCAAGAAAGTGAACGAGGATGGGAAATTAAACATACTAGTGAGTCCTAAAAAGGAGAAATGAAAATGTACTGAAACAATCAACTATCATGACAGCGAAGTGTTTAAAAGAGGCATGGCAGCTCATGGCTCAAAGGCTTATCAGTACCAACAAGAAACTGATGATCCATATGAATGGCCAAGGAAATCTTGATCTCTTGAAAAAAAAAAAACTTCAAATTGAATAGATTGTTAAGCTATCAAATTTATGCAGCATTGACAGGTCAGGTGCCCTTCTGGTGGAGAAAACACATCAGAACATATTCGCAGGACAACTGCGGCTTCATCTACCTGTTCATGTGAAGAGAAAAACACCTAGTATGCTAATCATTAGACTACCCAAACCCATCAGATGACGACCACCACTCTTCACATTTCTTCTGGTTATTATCTTGCTCCAATAGTACAGTAAAGGTTATGTAAGATAATTTTCTCCTATTATTGTGCATAAAGACTTTGGAGTGTGCAAATAGCAACACCCCATATCTTTCTCATGAAGAATTAGGAAAATTTTGTTGCAGACAGCATGAAATGGTTTGAATAAAATTTGACCAATAAATTCAGCATTTCAATGTCCATCTATATGCCTCTGGCCCTTTCTATCTGAAAAACGATTTTCAACTACAAACCTGATCCATCACCATTAGACCAGCTAGAAGCAGCAGCAGCTTGGTTGTCATGGATGCTGAGTTGGCGTGTTAGCTTCGAAAGGAGAGAGGACTGTTTCTGGTAGCGTTCCCTCCTGCGCTTCACATTCTGGTCCTCTTGAAGAAGCTCTTCAATCCGCGCTATGCTTTGAGCACTAACCATAGTCAAATACAAAATGGATCATTACAATTCCCTTAAAAAGAGTTTCAAAAATCTATGTTTCGGCCACAGGCAGATTCCTGTAGAACAGGCATCCATGTAACCCATAACAAGATAATAATAATAATAATCATCACATGAAGTGATCTAACAAGTAGCCATGCTGTATGAGCTTCCAAGTAAAACGACAAACAGAAGTAATCAGATGCAGAAAAAGACAATGCACCAACCTGATAGAGCTATACAGCTGATTTAGCATATCTTCCTTTGCTTTCTCAACTTGGCAAAGAACAACTGCCTGATTGATAAAATTACAGATTGTTATAAAAGCCTCTCATAAGTGAGCTCCTATAAGGAGAAAAGAAAAACCAACAAATGATGACAAGCTTACTTTGGGTACATTAGCAGCCAAGCTATTCAAAACTGCCTCTACATATCCACGCACTTCTTGAGACATCCATCGAAGTTCTTCTTCAGGATCCACAGGCCTTCGAGCCATCGTATCCTGCACACAAAATCAAGTTTGCTTTGAAGGAATTTCAAAGTTTAACTCAGAAATTTCCAAGTTTTGTACATTTAACCTATGTACACATGCTTTATGGGACCAAACTGCTATGCAAAATACATAACTAAACCAACCTACAGACATTGCAAAGAAAACATTGGGGATAGCAAGAGAATTTATCCAATGGAGAATTTCACTAAAATATACAAAATAATGAACTCTAACAAGTCTATGAACTGCTCCGAATGTCCCCAGCACACCACCACTTATCCCCTAAAAAAAGGTGAACCAATATGCAGTCTGTAATCATACCAAAGAACCATCAGAAAGACTATGCCGCATTGGACGACCACCTTCAGGAGATACTCCCCTCGTTTGCCCTCCTTTAGAAGGTTGAGCAACTTTTGAAATCTTGTTCATCCACTCAACTTTGTCAGCCACACTCTCAGCTTTCAAAACAACAGCGCTGTGGGCTGCAAGATAAAAGGACAGTTAGAAATATAATGGCAACTTCGGACAATATAAAATGTAAGAAAATCCACTTGAGAAGTACAAAAGATGCATACCTTTCAAAACAGTTTTATATGGAACCTTGCTGGTTATCTTAAAAACAAGACTGGGTGCTTTAGTATTTGGTCCATTGGCTTTTTTATCCTTTGAACTCTTTGGAGGAGGTCCTTCCTCATCTGGAACCTCTTCAATATTGCATTCCTGCAAAATAAATAGATCAGATGGGACAAATCATTTGCATGCACAGCCATATAATTGATCATAAATTCATCCAGTCTTTACCGTGCAAAATGCATGTAGTTTCTGGTGGCATCATATAAAGAATAGTGCAAGTAGAAACAGAGCCAGTATGGGAGGACACATTTGGCTTTCTTAGCAATAAATAAAAACAGGTAATGACACAGCCTTCACTTGCTTAAAAGGAAAACTAGATAGCACAAATAGCAGAAGAAAGAACAGTCCGCAACATGGTTGCACATCAGACTTAACCCATCCCTACACCAAGATATTGGTAAAGCAGGTTAAGTACCTGTCTCTCAACCACTTGGTAAGAAGTTTAAGATATCGGAATCTTAAAACTACCATTTTTCGGTGTACTGGCTTCCTACCTTCTAGAGCATAAATAAATAATATTCTACGACCAAAAAGAACAGGAAACAGGTTTTCAAAGACAGCTACACTCCCAATCCAACACAACCACAATACTCTTGTGCCACAGGAAGTACTACGTTCCCCTTTTTTCTCTTTTCAATTTACAGGAGAATATGTTCTAGGGATAGAGCAATGCTATTTCTGCTGACAAAATAATCTTACTTTCCTAAAGGAAAGGAATCTAAAGATGCAGTCTTCTCCATCTCTACAACACACACCCGAATTCACATGGTGCTCATAACATCAATTTTATAATCTTTAATACCTGAACATTTGATATTTGGGTGAACATCATGTAGCAAACTAACAAATGAATAAAAGCACATCAGCTAACATGTCAATTTTCATTTCAAGCACTCCTATGTATCCAATCCCTAAATAATCTTCGTTTCTAGAAACCTCACACACCACAGACCAATAATTCATCAGTGCTGAACACCTCCCCCCAAACCAAATACACAGATACCAGAAAAGCTCTCCTCCATTGCAGTCTACATAATGTACTACTGATTAAACATTTTAGTAGTCCCTAGCTAATCGAACCTGTTTTTTTTTTTCTTTTTTTTTTTTTTTTTGAAATGTTTTTGGATACCTAAAAATCCAGAATGCAACCAGTGGTGATCCAAAATCAAGAGAGTAATAGCTGACCATACCTCCAAAGTGATGACACCACGAAAATGTCTCTCCTCTTGCTTTTTTGTGTACCCGAGCTGTTAAATAAAAAATAGTTGAGTTTAATTACTGCTAATCATCAACATAAGAGACAAGAAAGATTAAATGCTAACAATTATAGCAACTAGATTAATTGTTCCGCACTTCATACTTTTCATTCACCCCCCTTCTGTAGTGGATACTTAGGCAATGCGCATTAGAGGGTGCAAATACAGGTCACTTCCAAACCATCAGACCATGAAGATGTGCACATTTAACATGCTTTGATACCATCCTGTAACAAACTCGACATCTATATGTGTTTTGAAGCAAGAAAACAAAGGTGAAACTATCGAGTGAATGTCTGAAATTAGGTTTCCCTAAACAGCACATGTACAGGGACGTAAATACTAGTCTTATTGTAACCATTAAACAAAATAACAACAGAGTACACAATATAATAACATGGAAGAAGAAATGTGAAATAAAGTTTACCAGAGAAAAATTTACAAACCTTCCCAGTCTTCTCATTCAAAACAAACCATCGCTTGCTCCATCCATTAGTCTTTGCACTTTTCTTTGATAAAAAACCTGCACATAAAATGCAAACTGCTCACTTCTTTGATAAAAAACCTGCACATAAAATGCAAACTGCTCACTAAAATTGAAACTTTCCCATTAGGAAATTAACGGAATTGTGAAGGGGAAGATTGGACAGGAAAAATAAATATGTTCATTTTCTACACCGCACAGATTATAAATCAAAGGCTTGTCCACTTCAAGATCATATCCTGAACTAGTTCCCTGTGTAAATTCAGGCACCCATTTCTTTATGAACCAATCCAGAAAAACTAATGGCCAAGCCAGCTTTTGTATCTTGAGAACTATGGTAGCTGTTAAATTTCTTTAATTGCATGAAAGAAATGATGCAATTCTGACATCCATGGCCCAACATTTTTCAATTTCAGAAGTCAACAACAGCTCTAAATTTCAGAAAATATTGACATAGAACTCAAAATGCAGCTGTACTAAAAAATTTATATACAGGGCACATGGTAGAACTACACGTTTTTACAGGAATACAGTAACCCAATAAACCTGCTGTTATTTCTCCTTCGGGACCAGCAGTCTTTAAACCAGAACCCTCCTGCACTTCCTTTTCTGCCGGATTGGATTTCTCTTTCATTGATTTCAAACTTCCACCTGTTTGCTGACCACCTGCTTGAGGACTGGTTGCCTAAGAGGATGTATAAAACAAAACAAACAACGGGTAGAACATCAACAAAACAGAACAGAAATAACACATTTTGGTTAAAATTCCTATTCCAATAAAAATTGAAATGAACGCAAACCCTGTTTAATATAGCCTGCTCAGCATCATTCCCTTTCTTTGAGGACCGGTTCTTAAGCTCCTCCTCTCGGCGCTGTCTTTCCATCCTATAGTAGAAAATGAAAGGATAATAATTAGGTTGGAGGTTAACATTCAGAGATGTACTAATATATCTAAGATACAATAAAAAAGATCCTTGCATATGCCAAAACTTATGACATGCTCAGGCACACAAACGCAATTTACAGAACCAAATTAATGTAGAAGTTGGAAACACTACATTATACAGCTTTACTATTTTTGCACCTTTTCAAGCAATTGAACCAGAGATAGATAAGCAGGCCATCACATGACATAAAAATTACATTTTTCCTTGCAATCAAGCCACCATACCCAACATATTAGAAGTAAACCAAGATTCCTACTCAGATATATACCAGCCAAACATGTTCACAATACCTCCTTTGCACCAAACGGATGAAATGTTGTGGAGGCACAAATACTCGCTCCATATCAACCAAAGCGACAACCATCTTTTTTGCTTCATTCTTAAACCCATCTAAAGCAGCACTTGCGATGGCCAAAACCTTACAGAATCAATAAAAAAAAAATCAGCTTCAAAAAGAATAATATTTGAACCATGATAGGTACTTGTGCAGGTTCAGAATATGCAGCATAAATCATGGAGCATGTAATTACAGATTAACATACCTCTCTCTTGAAAGGAGGGTACCTTCCCAGACCTGGTGTGGCATTTGCAGCAGCAGAAACTATATCCACCAGGACACGATGCACCTGTTTTTTGTCAGGAAGGAACTCCATCAGTAGCACACAACAGAACCAGTTATTGATCATAGACCTTTGAAACAAAATGTCAAAACGAATATGCAAGGTCTACCTCAAATTAGTTTCATCTGAATGAAAATTTCAGAGAGTCATTTTCCCCAAAAAAAAAAAAAAAAAAAGAATGACCTACCGCATCATTTTTCAAGTTGTAAATGAGAAATAAGTACAAGTTAACATAATGCCTTCATAAAGCACAAAAAATCACATCATATGACTGCTCAAAGCATAGCACCAGAACCCAGTACACCATTAAACAATGTATTAAAGAAGATATTAATAGATTAGAAGTCAGATATTCATTTGATGTTCACAATCACCATAATCATCAATCTCAAATATGGGGAGAAAAGAAGTGTGGAAACGTTCAAGTCATAACTACAAGAATGAAGTGTCATATTACAAGAAATGGTGGAACAAAATGTAATTCACCTCATCAACACAGAGACGTGATGGTTCTTTGGCAAGCTCCAGCACAATTTTTATTAAGGATCTCAAACCTTTTTCAGGGGATATGAGATATGGTTGATATCCATCGGCCTCTAAGACAATCTGACAGAACACATATAGAAGAAAAGATTATTGATAGTTGATAGTGCATAAAAATTCCTAAAAGCAACAGAGCATGTAGCAAAAATGGAAGGGATGAAAAGCAGCACAATTACCCTCTTGACATTATTGATATCAAAATGTCTATCCAAAGGAAGTTGCTTGATTCTATTTGGAAAATTCCCCTCGAAACTTGCAACAATTTTCCAACCAGAACCCTGCAGCAGAATATTTTAAATAACAGCTAATTATTTTGGATCATGAAACTTCAGAGAAACCATTTCTCAAGTAATACTTGTAACAAAAAGAAATGAATTTAGTGCATCACCTAGCAGATTTTAGTTTTGACTATCATAGAACAGAAGCAAATAGCTATTGGTAAGATTTTTTCAAGGTAAGACAATTGCACTCAGAGAAACAAAACCAAGAATATCATCAGAGGACATTTTAAAAAATATCTACCATTTAAACCCGAGAGAGAGAGAGAGAGAGAGGGAGGGAGGGAAATAACTAGGCCATTTGAGTGGCAAGGAAAGAGGAAATAACTGAGGAGAAGAAAAGAATAATAAGCATGGAGTAAAGATACATAGAGAACTAATAGTACAAACTACAAAGATCTATGGAGAACTACATCCTTTGCGAGTGTAGCATCAATACATAACTGATCCACCTACAGGCTACATACTAAAGAGCAAAGAACTAGAGAAAGCATAAGATATGAAAACACTCACCTCACCCGTCATAATGTGTTGGAGAAATTTATCCTCAAATTCACGACAAAGCTCCAAAGCTAGAGCTCTTGTGCCCTCAGCACTTTGAACCATCTGCTCCCCAAGTCTCACTAATTCATCCTGAATTATTTGAGACTTCCCTTGTAAGCTGCATAGATACAAAGGACAAATGTGTGAGGAATATCTTAAAACAATAGAAGCCTACAAAGGAAGCATAAATTGCATATATCGGATAAAGAAAGAAGGTTAACACAAGTGATTAAATTTATCCCACCCTTGTCTATAATGTGGTTAACAGAACAAAGCACTTTCATTTGTCTCCTTACAGTCAACAGGCCAAGTGTGGCATTATCAGGAGGAAAAACATGCACCAGTTATGTCCAAAGTGCAAATTATGTACCAAAGGAGATCAACAGTAATAACAACAAAATCCATGCCAAGAACTTCCTTGACTGTGCTAATTACAAGACAAGCACATATAATAGAACATTACATTGAGAGGTACTTTATCTCCAAGTGCAAATTATGCACCAAAGGACATCAACGGTAATAACAGCAAAATCCATGTCAAGAACTTCCTTGGCAGTGTGCTAATAACAAGACAAATATATATACTAGAACAACACAATGAGAGGCAATACAAGGAACACTAACAATAGAGCAAATTAATCAAATAAGAGATAAGCTAAGAAAACAATAAAATTTCTTAAAGAAAGAGAAAAAGTCATAAGAGAAGTCTATAACAATTACCCAGAGAGAAGATTTGGAACCCGAACTTTCATGCGCTTACGAATCTGCTGTGCCAGAGCTTCCACTAAGGCTATTCTGCCTAGCTTGCTCTGAGGGGCTCCCGTCAGTATGGATTTGAGACTCTCACTCTCTGCTTTCCATGCAGTTTCTAGAGAAGTTTCAGACCCAGACTGCCCAGCAGCAATTGAAACTGATTGACCAATTAAAGCAACCCATGGGATATCAGCAGTTTTTGGTGGCCCCTGATTTAGCAAGAGAGCCTGAACAGCCGCAAGAGCTTTCTGGTCCGAAGCAGCTTGATCTATTTTGCTAATTATACCAACGGTTCTAGTACCTGTCATTGACAGAAGAGGATACCTATTTAATCATTATAAAGATGTGTTTTTTAGTAGGTGAAGGGGGTGAAAAGTTATCGTAGTAACATTTCAACTAGTTCGAAAAAAAAAGGAGGGAAAATTTATGAAGTTTTACCCTCACAAAAAGTAATAAAACTGGACCCACTAAAAGCAATTTTCCCCAACAATTTTTTTTTTTTTTTTACAAGTCCAATCAAATTTTATTTATTTGCACCTTTTTAAGCATGGGTCTCACTAATATGCATCATTTATCTTTTTAATAATAATGGGTCCCACCATCACCTTTTATCATTTTGGATCTACTAAACATCATTATCATTACACCATTAACGCTTACACCTTAACATTTACTCTTATAACATTTCTAAGCATTTTTTTTGACATGTAACAAAAGCAACATAAGAAAAGAATTGTTGAACACATAAAATAAATAAATAAAACACCTAACAAAAAGAGATATGATGGAGATACAAAAAAGTGGAATGCATGTGCTCAAAAATAAGAGAGAAGTGTCTGATGTCACTGATATCCTGCCATTAAAATGATCACAGATCTCAGTGCAATCAACTTTATAAGCCATTTACCTTCTCCGTCATACTCCTTGGCAATCCTGAGGGCTCGATATGAAGCAATTTCAGGTGCCTGGGCAGCCGGTACAACAACTAGCAAAATGGCATCATTGTGCTCTGCATAGTCACTAACCTAAGCAATGGTCATATTGAAAAATTATTGCTATAATATTTGAGTACCATACTGAACTAAATGCATACATAAAAAAAATAAAGGAAACAGAGCAAAAGGCCTTGGTTCGCTTCACATATTGTATGCAAAATTTAATGTTGACCACCATGATGATGAAGCTGGTTGATGTAAATCCTCACATGTAATAGAGGTCTAGAACCATTAATTAACACTTACTATAGATTCATCCATGATCCGTTGATCCAGGCCAGGTAAGTCAATCAATTTCAAGGGAGGAGCTGAGAGAAACCATGTTAAACAGTGAGAATGGTAACAGCAGGATTGGTTTGTCCAATAACAGGCACAAGAGCATGGGATTAAATGAATCTGAATTAGTTAACTGAATCTTAGATGGGTGCAATTCACCCCATGCCCTTGTACTATCCAATATTTGTGCATTTCAATCCTTCTACCCAGGTATGTTGCAAAACAAACCATATACTACTCAAAGTTGGGACAAACCAGCCCTTCCATCCAACATCTGACCAATCATATAATGACACATGGTTAATGGAGTTGGATGGAAGGACTGCTATGTTCCAACTTTGAATAGTACAGAGTTTGTTTTGCACTATAACTGGATAAAAGAGTTAAAATGAACAATACTGGATAGTACAAGAGCACGGGGTGAATTTCACACAATAATCTTCCACAAACCAATAGCTAATACCAAATCTTAGAATCTTTGTTCATCAGTTAAACTAGAATGAATAGTATATATAATGAACCAACCTGTGCTTGTGCGCAGTTTCAAATATATCTCATCCCGACCCTTGCCAGTGGCGCCCTTACTAAGCCTATCCTGTAAAGAATGCCGCAAAGCACCTACAAAATAACAAAAATCATATTTCCTTTTTCAAATTAACAGGTACAAACAACTAATAATCTGAAAGGAGTCTTTGATATTAATGTTTATAGACATTTGACTGTATAGTTGGAAAAGCAATTTCTACCTCAGTTAAGTCCCATGCGTTTCTGTTTTCTCCTCTAACTCTAGTATGTCATGTTTGTTTATCTTATGAGTCAACTACAGAAATAACTTTTAGCCCTAGGCATAGCCATTGCATGTCTTATGGATCACAAAATAAATATTCGCCATAGAGAAGATGGATAGTCAAAGCATTGGTCTTGCTATCCTCCAACAATGTTAGCACTTGGCAGATGGGTTTGTTAGTTATGGCGGGAATCATAAGCTGCCAGTTCAGCAGAAGATGGTGGTATGTTAAAAAAGCATCAGTAGTAACACGAGAATCCTAAGAGGCTGTTTTTCGAGTTAATCCTTAACCATATAATCAAAAGCAACTGGAAGAAAGAAGAAAATAAATAAAAAAGCAGAAGACACCAATAATGCAATTTGAATTGAGTCATTCAATTGCAGTTACTAACTTGCAGAAACTTGTTGAGATTTGTTGTCAATCTGCAAGATAATTGATTTGCTGCTCAAAGAACCATCCCTCTGCAAGCCAATGCTTATAGGAGCCCGAGTGGCACCATTTTCACCAGTTGGCTGTAGAAAAGGAAGAGAATTTCAGGAATCACCTACATTAAGGAGAGGGAAAAAAAATACAGAACCTAATGCAGACAAACTTACCAGAACAGGGTGTCCAATTACACTATTCAAAACTGCAGATTTACCAGCACCCTAACCAAGTTGTCCACAAACAGGGAAGAAGAAATCAAACAAGGATCACAGTACCAAAAAGAAAAGAAAAGTAGAAACAGAAATTTACATAAAGGACGCAAAAATGGGAGCTGTAGCAGCAGTAATCTCAGAATTCACTAAGCTATAAAGTCTCATCTTCAACAGTTCCTCATGCCTCATAACCGCAAATTACATTCAAAACAGATTTTCTGTAAAACATCTAGCTAATGTGAGCATCTCCAATGAAAGAAATGTCACATTAAAAAGTAGATCCTATCATCCAGTTATGTTTAACAAACACGGCTGCCAATACCTCCACAAACACACACACGCTCACACTCACACTCACACAACGGCATCATCAAGATGGCATGCATTTAAAACCACACCATGAACATATATTTCAAATGCTCCCACTAAAAGGGGAAAAAAAATAACAAACTACCTTCATCAAAATGACATCGAAACTACTAATGAACGCATTCAAAAACCAAATTCATTCTTTCTCTTGGTGCTCAAGGTGATGATGCATCAGCTGATGAATTCAGCTTCACTACCTGCTTGGCTTCCTTGCACACTTACACACGAAGCATATACTGGCATCTCATGGCATTTTATTTATTTATTTATTTATTTATTTAATCGTGCGAAGCGAATTTAATTCAAACTATTGGTATTTACAATATTGCTTGCTTGTATGTACTGCTGGTGGAAGACAATCCTCATAAAAAAACCACACGTCTCACATAATTTACGAGAAATCCGCTTACAAAAAGAAGGCAAAACTAAATAAGTCAAACAGTACATAAACTCTCCTTCCTTCTAATCACTAATCAAAAAATTCAAAAAAATATATACATCTAAAACTAAATTAAAACACAAACTCCTTTTCTTAACTAAAAATATCAAACTCAAATCAATCAAATCCAGTCTATAATTCCAAGTAAATTAAGTCACTTACTACGTTGCCAAGTCCAACAACATTAAGAAAAGTTGAGTTCCGTCTTGAACTTGACCTCGAATTTTCGTCAACATCCTCATCGGCAAGCAACGCCGCTGCTTGCTTCATCGACTCCGATAACTGTGACAACTCCTCGATCGCTTCCATATTTTCAATTCTAACAATCAATGATCTAAACTAACAAGTTCGTACCAAAAATCGAAGCGATCGAGCTAATCGAAAAGCGCTAAGAACCGATGAGATCTAATTGGTTTGTAGAGATATCAGATTTTTTCAATATTCAACGATTTGAAAAGGCTACGGAATGGAACTGCCCTCTCTCTCTCTCTCTATTTTATTCTCTTTTTTTTTTTTTTTTTTTTTTGAAAGAAGAAATGTACACGAAGAAGAAGAACTCTTTTTCTTTTTTTTTTCGTGTTTCCTCTCTCTTTCTTTATTGCTTCTCTCCCACTTTCTCTCTGAGAGATATAAGACGACGACGACTACTATTTCTTAGCGTTTTGAATTGTGTGTTTTTTTCAAATGTTTTTCTCTTTCTTTCTTTCTCCGTCTTGCGTGTGTTTTAAATTCCTTTCTTTTTTAAAAGTTTGAAAATATTTCGGCCAGCTACTGTTGTTTATGTGCCGACGACGGTTATTTCGAAATAAATACCACAGTACTCAACTTCATAGTTACGGTTAAGTCAGGTGCTGCTGCTACCGCCTGATATTTACTCACTTCGAAACACCAGTTGTCAATAGTTAGTCCCTTTAATTTATAACTACAAAGCCTTAGTCCTTATAGTTTCGATCGCGAATAAGGTGGGCTTCCGGTGTTATGTAATAATCCTGGCTATATCGCATGTAAAAACTTCAGAATTAAATACCTAAAACTCTATATAAACTAAAATTTATAATTATATTAAAATTGATATTTATATGAGTTAATTAATATGAAGCTATCAATTGTAAATACAAAGCATAAATTTAAAAAATGATAATAGCTTACAAAAAGACTAAAACAATTAACAATGAACACATAAAATAAATTAAGGAAAATCGATAATAACTTAAAAAATATTTTCTTAAAGAGTAACAAATGTGACATCGCAACAAAATAATTGTTATCTTTACATAATAGTTATTACGGTATCGACACGTGTAAAACAATCTATTATGTTATAAAATATAATATAACTTATTGAAAGGATAAAATTGAAAAAAAATTGCTGTGAATTGATTCTTTTATTTTAATCCTCAATCCATGAGGCTCTAGAGTAATTAATAGCTGTAGGGATAACTGAAAAATTTCACAGATATCAAGTGGGATAGCTAAGAAATCATTCCAAAGAAAAGGCCACAAGGAAGTACAAAATTGAAAAGAAAATGGAAACCTCAAGAGGGTAATTCAAAATATTCATTAGTTGAAGGCGGTAGTTGACAGAATTCAAAACCTCCATTTGTAATTTGTCAATTGAAATTACTTGGCATGGTTAGTAGAATTGGTCCATAATACATACCATATTAAGACGATTTGATGGCATTTTTCGTCCTTCATTAATTGCAATTTTGACACATTAAATCTAATGGTTTCAAAAAACGCAATCGAGTCCTTAGACTCTTGATTCAGTAATTTGTCCCTCTGTCGGATTCGGAAGTAAAATTTGAATTAAACTTGTTCGTGCAACATGTGTCAGAATTCTAGAGGACACCACATTGAACCCAAAAATTAAATGAAGTTAATCCCCTCTTGATTACAATACAATACTGACCCACTAATTGACAAAAAATAATGGAAACAGTTTTCCATCAAAGAAAAAAGTTTAATGGCTATACTTTTTGCTTAATTATAATAATCTTTTATTTTTAATTACAATACGTTTTATTTATTTATTTAGTTGACAAAAAAGAAAAAAAATTACATAAAAAAATGCCATTATCAGGGACTTTTATGTTTGAAGGAAATACTTTTTTCATTTTTTATATTATTTTTCTTTTCACCTTGCCCGCTAAAATAAATTAAAAAAATATTGTAATTAATTAACAAGTACCCACTGATTTTTTTTTTCATGTTCTATGCATAGAAAAAAAGATAAAATATATTTCCATGGAAAAAATAGAAAAAAGTATTTCCATCGAACATATGGCTATTCATCATGGCATTTTGTATGTTGGTTCTTCTTTCTTCTATTTATTTATATCCGATAGTGTTTTTTTTTTCCTCATTTTACTTTTTTCCATTAGTTGATTAGTACTTCGATAAGGAGGGATTAAATTTATTTAGTTTATGGCTCAATAGGAATGTGCCATGTGTTCAATGTGTAGCCTCCAGAGTTCTGAAACATGAAGAACGAACCACTTTAATTCAAAATTTACCTCTCCGAATTTGCCTCCAAACAAAAAGTCGAAGGACCCATTAGGTTTAATTTGATGTGCCAAAATTACAATATTTCAAGGACAAAAGATACCATTAAACATGTTTTAGGCATAAAATGTTGGAAAATTTTAAAACGAACAATCTAATTCAATATATATATATATATGAATAAAAAATAGATATATAATAACGTGATTTGGTAAAATTATATATGCTATATCTACGAACTTAAGAATAATTTTTTACTATTAAAAAAATTAATATAAGAATATAATTGTGATTTTATATTCAAAATTTAATTTTAAAATTCTTTGTACTCTTACTCTTACATTCAATAAAAATCCTTCAACTATTGTGTTTTTACATACTAAAACCATATATCTACTCAACTTACTTATTTATAACGATCAATAATCAATAAAAACTCCTTGATAGATGAATAAAAAATCGTTTGGTAGACAAAGAATATTTAGTCAGTACTTTACTTTACTTAGTCATTACTCAAAAAGAAAACATGAGTCATAAGCATAACATATAAATGGTTAAGTAAATGATTGAACATATACATAGGCCATAAGTTTGAAACTTCAAATTTTAAAAGTTATTAAGTATTATTAGTAGTTGTTAATCTCGAAAAATGGAAAACAATTGTAAGTATTTGTGACAGAATTTAGGAAGAGAAAAGACATGTCATCTGATCTTATATCATTCAAAGGTCGTTGTCTGGTGCAAAGGTTTACATCATAAAAACTGTGGGTTGGAAATCTTGACATTTCAGTATTTTCATAAAAAATATATAAAAGAATAATTTTCTTAAAGATTCTGTCTCCCATCTAACATCCCCATTTTAATACAAGGACAATTAGGTGAATATGTTAATCTACTTAATATCCCAACAATTGGATGGTACGATGTCTTCGATTTCGAATTGCAGATTGGAAAAACCAAAAAAAAAAAGAAAAAAAGAGAGAGAGAGAGAGAGAATCATTAACAATTTAAGAATTCAATGATTTATGATTTATTGGCCAAACTAAATTGAAATGCTAAATCATTATTATAATGAGTAATTAGAAGAAATTTCGTATGGCCGGATCCAAAACCTACCCCATCAACCTAGAAAAGGAGAAATTTCTTGGGTGGCGTAATGTGAAAGGATGGCAAAAACCTACCTCATCTTCGTTCAATGTCTTCAAGTTTAAGATTACGTCAAACATTCGATACGCGCCTGGTGGCTGTTTTATTTTTTGGAGCAATCTGTTTAACCGGCCTTCAACTCTTATTTGTGTTGGATAGTGAATTTTTTGGGTGCGTTTAATTAATTTATTACGCTATATAAAATTTACATAGTTTAATAATATATTTATTTTACGATTACACTTGAAATTCTTATTAAGTTTTTCAATTAATTATAAATATAAAAAATAATATCTATATTTATAATATAGATTGGTAAAGTTATAATAAAAATATCTTAGAGCATCTCCAATGATGCTCTTTATTTTTAGTTAGCATTTTTAATGTAAATAGAGAGAATCATTAATTATATAGATTGAAGATCAATATCATTCTTAATGCTATTCTCTACTTTAACTCTTTATTTTGACAAAATCCATAAAACCCGAAAAGACTATTAGTGAATAGAATTTGAATGACATAAGAAATAGTAATTTTCATTAATGAAATATAAGATAAAAAGTCATTTGTACTTATCTAAGTATTGAAGAGCCAAAAATAAAAATCTTAATATAAAAGAGAGCATTAGAGATGCTCTTACAAGCTTATACTCAATACTTTGTATATCTTTTAAAAACTCCACCTCCGAGCTTTTTTACTCCACTCGTATTAACTTTGTATAGCACATTAAATTGCAGAACATATTCACATTAAAATTATTTTTTTTATTATATAATTTTAAGAACTAATGTCTCCCTCATATCAATCGAATTTTTTTAAGGAAATAACTTATGAGGATTGCTGAGTTAGAGATTCGAATTTATAAATGAATGGGAGAAACAAAACTACTTGATTACGTGGCCTGTAATCTCCTAAGGTGCCTTAACTGGTTTCATGCGACGGCTTTTTTGCTTTCTTGTACTTCTCGTGAACTAATGTCCCATGCCAAGCCTCTTCGGTTGATCTCTCTTTTTCTTCGTATATGTATAAGAAACCAACATCCTAAACAATGATGGGACAATCATCTAGGAGTATCAATGATATCCTCACTTCATGTTTAAGAGCTTATGCCTGACGCAGAATTAATGGATATTTCTAACAAAAGAAAAAATATATATATATTCTCAGCTCCTTCTCAAAAAAAAAAAAAAAAAGAAAGAAATTAGCAGCTTTTAAAGTGCAAATTAACCATGAGTGAAAATGATGGTAATATTGTTCAATAAGTAGGTTCCTTAAATGAGCAGAATTGAACATCCATTCTAGCACGAAGACTGCTGCTTCATCTTATTTCATGAATTCTGAACTTTTTTAATTGTCCCACTAGTTGGTCCATCCATTACAATAATGATGCTTTTTAAAAAAGAAAAATTATTTTTGAAAAGTTTTTAGTTTGATAAAAAAAAAAAAAAAAAAAAAACTTTGGGATGAGTCTGCGTATTTATCAAAATTAATTTGTTTTTTTTTTTTTCAGATGACTTTTAGGACAGACTCTCGATGTGATGTATTTAGAACAATGAATAAATTACTCTAAACATAAATTTTAAAGTTTAAAACCTGGAAAATTAAGAAATGAAGCAAATCTTTTTTAAACATAAGAATTTCTTTAAAAAAAAAATTTATTCTACAATAAATATTTTCAAATCAGTTTGTATATTAATCAAAACTAAAAATCCTTCTATTTAACCTTAATTAAATGAAAGACTCATCATGCAAAATGATATTCTTTTAGTAATTACAAGAGAGTTAAATTGTTAAGGGAGGAAGACACGAGTGCCGTCGAATCATATGACTTATTGGCATATTAAAATATTTTCAATACCGAAATATTTAACAATGCATACATCCCAGCATTGGATGATGTGGGTGGTTCTCATATGGCAACCTCAAGTTTTACCTTTTTTTGAAAAAAGAAGTGGTTGGTCATGTCAAATGATGACCTACCCAACACCCATCTCTCATTTTTTGTGGGGGCTTATCAGAAAGAAAAAGGTCAACTCAGATTTTTGTGACATTCAGATTCAAAGCTGCTCAAGTTTTACCATGGGAGGCTTTGACTACCTCCACATATATTCCATTAAACAATATATATATATATATGTCTGATCCAAAAAAATGTCAAAACAATAAATATATTTTAAGAATTTGATTAGAAAATAAATGATAGAGAAATCGTTTGCATTAGTTGCTCTAGCATACATGGATATCCACCTACTTAGATAACCAGTATTTTACTGTCAATAAAAAAAATATATACAAAAATATTCATTGACACTTTATATATATGCTAAATATTTTGTTATACATTAGCACTTCACTCGTCTCCTAAAGAGGAAACTGGGCAAAACGTGTGCGAAGTTCATGCTCCGAAATGCAGCTAGTTTGAAATATAAGAAATAAGAAAGAATAAAAAGGAGAATTGTCTGGAAATCCATCATGATGAACAATGTATCTGCAAATTATTACCGAAAGTACATCCACTCAGCTGGGACACAACGCCTATATTGTATAAACATGACTGGCGTAATACTACTTCACAACATCATGGATCCCCAAAAACAATAACAAACAACAAACTCATTGCAGAAACCACAGCAACCTGGTTCCCCACCGGATTCAAAACCCTAGCACCCCAAGTCCCAACTGAAAGCAGTAGAAGAGGACTACTCATACTTGATTTTACGCGTTCTTTAGAGAGAGATAGAGGTTAAATGAAATAGGGTTAAGCAACAGCAACTCCAGAGTGGAAAGGCCGTCTTTCCACTTTATTACTTTCCGGTATGAAGTCAGGTATAACTTTTCTTTTTGCAGCTGTTTTGGGCCCAGGTGGTATTGCCCTAACATAACTTTTCAACTTCTGCAAGCCTTCTGGTTGAAGAGGTTTTGACAGAAAATCTTCAGCGCCATCTGCAAGACACCTGTGGAGCACACGGTAATGAAATCATGTGCAATAAATGAGATTCCTTACAAAGCAACCATTTTATGATGCAATTTTCAAATCTAGTTTTTCAAGAACCATAGCTAAGATTGCCTTCCGTAGACTTCAAACCAATATATATGGCTGATTTTCACTGAATACATGAAAGCTAGTGGTGCAAAGACTGGTGCAGTTTATTTTAGCTATATTCTCAATTTCTATAGATACAGGGCGATACAAGTAAGAATGCATGAAGCTGAATAACATGCAGCCTCAGGGTGTAGGTGTAGCTGAAATGGTGTTATATTCTTGGTTTTGATTCAACACGAGCAGGTTTTCATGTGTTGTTTGATATTTTACAAAGCTGTTGTAATATGGAGAAGAAAAGCCAGCGTTGGTTTACATTAGCAAACTCAATGTAATCATCTATGTAAAACTTTAAATACACAGGACCATTGAGTTTTTGCTTGAGTCCAACTGTATCCAAATTCCACTAGTAATCTTGAACATTTTCTCATTAAGAGTGCATCTCTCAGACTCTCTTTCAACATTGAAGTGACAATACATATCTCTTTCATCAATGCTCATTGAGGAGTTAATAATATGTAAATTGTATTAGACGACAATCAAAAATGATATCAACTCAATGTAAGGCAGGAAAAAAAATAAAAAAAAAAAAAGATCACTGCAGTTCATATTTAAACCAAGTGAAAAACCTACTTGTAAGATCTAATTTCAATCATGAGTGGATTTTGAACGTTATTGACAGCACTTTTACGGAGTAAAGCAACCCTCTGATCTTTCAATATGGTGTAATCATCCTTTTTGGCTTATTGAAAGCCAAATATAACTCCATCGCAAAATAGAGAATTTGAACCATGGTAAGCCATAAGCAATATTGAAAGAAGGGGCATCTCTCAAAAACAAGGCCATTCAGAAAGGAGCAGGGAAGTCAACTTCAATCATTGCACAGGTAACATGCTTAGTTAAACTAATTATCAAACTTATGACAAATAAAGTAGTTAAATAAAGCCAGGAAAACCATTGATCATATATGATAGGTTATAATACTAAATGGTGTAAATTCATTTGGTTCTTTGGTTAAGGCCCAAGGAGTACTCCTCTGGTATCACTACGTTTCTTAATATTTCTGCTTACGCTTGTAATTGCCAGAGAGACATCATAAAAAACACCATAAGTTTTTCCGTTGTTCCAAAGAAAAAACTGGATAGAATAATAAACAAAGAGGCATTTGATGGGAAAATAGAAATTTTATCAATCCGTCGTCCCTTCGCTGATCACTATGTAGCAATCGAAAAGGCAAATCCAGGAAATTAAGTTTAGGAGTAAAACAGACCAGATTCCATCAGATAATATCCAGGAACCATAACAACTGAAGTAACAGATTTTCAGGTAGTTACAACAGTAGTCCTCAAACAAAAGAAATAATGTGAGAAAACTACCTGCTGATTCGTTGCGGATTGTACTCAGATGACATTATCACAACAGGAATGGATTTCATATTGTTGTGCTCCTGGGGATCAAGAAAGGGACTGGATTTATCACTCCCAGATTGGATTTTATAAACGCTGATTAACTAATATAAAACCATCATTTTTGTTTCTATGAACAATATAAAAGGATCGTTAACTCTGGTACTCAATAAAACATGGAATTTTGGTTGATTAAATGTAATAAAATCAACTGAAAACCCAACACATTGCTCAAGATAATCAAAGAGGTCAAGACATAATTTAGATTTAGAAGATTTCCTAGACAGAATCAATTAGAAAACGGAGACCTAACCCAATAAGCAAACGGCCCTTAAATTATTTTTACATTATAATTGTTCACATCATCGTTTAGAGTTGAGCAGACAGATTTTGCGGTTCGAATTAAGAGAAAGAAAGATGGGAGAAGGCATGTGCCGGCTTTTTACCTTCACGGCCATAAGAAGATCATAACCGTTCATCTCGGGCATACAATAGTCAGTAAGGATTAAGTCAATCTTTTGGTCCTGAAGAAAGAAGCAAAGATGAATTGCCACAGATATTAGATGCATGAAACAATCAAGAAGGTGCCAACACCAAACTCAAAAATTTTATTAGGAAACAAGATGCAGGGATATGCAAAAATACCAATATAAAGAAAAGTGAAAAATAATAGACGAAGAAAGTCAGGGAAAATATAGTTCACCTCAGAACCAAATTAAAACTAGAATAGAGATATTACTTAGGAAACATGAAACCCTACGACACTAACCGTTAGGCTGTATACTTGCAGCTGCTGATGAATCTTTAAAGCTTACCAATGGATATAAACAAAGATGTGCAGTTTATAAGGTTTTGCATCAACTTTAAAATTCAAACCTGAATAAAACTTAAGATCTTGATGGCTTGCTTCATTAATACAATCAGAATAAAGAATCATTTATCATGAATCTCAGGTGTAACAATTAATCTTGTTAAAACAAATCAATATCATTATACCATAAATTTCATAGCATAAGAAAGCTGACACTTTGAGGTTACTAGCATTATTGTGCGATGAAAGAAAAGCAACAACGTGTTTTCATGGACCACATGCCATTATCTTTTCAAATATAAAGTTATCTTCAATAATCTACTACTAATTATAACTTAATTAATCCAAAGTTTACTATAAGTAGTGTTTAATTAAATCAAAATTCACTTCCAGTACAGGAGTACTCAGAAACTTTGATAAAACTGTTATTGTGATTTCAACATTAGCACATCCCACAAATGCTGAAATCATAATTGTACCAAAGGTTTGGACTTTTCAATTATTACAGCAACACATCTCTGACTTGTTGATTGAGATCAAACAAAATATTGATTTTCACAGGCATTAGCAGTTAAGCTTAATGAAGCAGAAAAACAAAAAAGTAAAAAACAATCTTACAGAAAACAACAAACTAAATGATTACTTGCTTACGTTAATACAAGTTTTATCCACTTTTTCTTCACTAAATCCAAGAACCTCCATTGCCTTCTTTCCACTATCCACACTGGTAACTGCATTAATTTAGGCCAAAACCCTTGATTAATCAAGGCATCTGCTACTTGAACATAATAAGTATCTTTAATGAAATGCAATGAAATAAGAAAGTATAGCAAACCCACAAAAAATAATCCACAAAATGCAAGCTTTGACCGAAGAAAGAAAAGAAAGCAAGGACCTTTAAAGGAGATTTTTTTTAGTAGCTTCTCAACGATTTTCCTGTCAACAAAGGAGTCATCAACAACAAGAACATGAATGGGGTTGGCACCAGAATCAAAAGCACCAGCAGCCACCTCCACCTCTTCCTCACCCATATCTGGCTTAGCCACTAAACCTCCAATAATGCAGAGAATGAAAAAAGAAGTTTCTAAAGAAAAGCACTAAGAAAAGGGCTTTTATAAACTACTAGAAGAAAGAAAGCAGAGGATCTTCAAAGTGCTCGATGGATAAGGGGAAAAGAAGGGAGGGAGGAGGGAAAAGTGTTCGAGGGTTAAGAGCGTGTAGTTTCTGACCGAGAAAAGGGTGGGAGTGGGGAAAAGGAATACATCTTTAGATTGCGCTGTCGGGAATCTTTCCATCTGAACTGGTCCATATTTGATCGTGACTTCTTCTTGTCCCCATGCGTTCTTTTGTTTACTCCATTTAATCCTCCATGCTTAGAAATTTATCTATTTTGAGATTTTTAAGTTGTTGGATACGTGCATGCACGCCATAATCTTAATCTGGGTTAATTTATAAAATTCTTCTTATGCGTTGGAATGTACAGACACACACACACACATGTGTGTGTGTGTGTGTCTTAGGATCAATTTAATTGGGCCACTTATAAGTGTTTCTTTATTGTTGGGCCCATGTGCTTTAATTATTTATTCTGCCCAAGAAATGAAATCTTTTGACTATTTTCCCCCAGACCCCCCACTCCTTCAAATTTTAATGTAAATGATGAATCGGTTTCTTTTACTTGTGATATTACGAAATTTAGTTGTCGATGTCATCAAACTAAATTCAAGTGCGTTAGCTACATATTTATTTTTTTAATTGCAAGGATAAAAATATCTTAGTTCAGTTTTTAGGTGTTAAAATTAAAAAATATTGATTAGCTATTTAACAAATCATTCGTACCTGAATTAATATATATATATATGTTATGAAATAATGAATGTCCATCATCATGTTCATCCACTTTTCATATCTCCACTATTCATGATTCTTAATATGATTCAATTCATCATTAAATATGAGAAATTGAAAGGATGATGCAATTGATTATTCATAGTCCCTTCCAATTCTCTTCTCAATTTTGAAACCTATAAATAGGCTTGATTGTTCATTAGTTAGTGTACAAGTTTCCTAGAGAGAATAAGAGAAGCTTTGAAGTTCTTATCACTTATATTCACATTATAGTAATTTCATTTTCTTGTCATCATTTTCTTCAATTCTCCTATTATTCCTATTTATTTTATAACACGTTATCAGCACGAAGTTCTAACCAATCGGGATAATAGATCATGAGGTATGTATCTACCAAAACACTTAATCAATTGTTTCAACCATTGAATTTCTTTTGAACAAGTGCTCTACCAATTGGATCTAAATTATTATTTAGGTCATTAAGAGGTATGTATCTAATTTATTGTGTATTTTAAATTTAATGATACATAGAATATACATTTGAAAAATTTTAATAATTTAATATATATTATTTGAAAAGTTCAAATTTTATTATTATATTTTGTCTTTATTTCCTAACATTATTATTATACTTTGCAATATACAATTTTAATGATATCTTATCAACCATCACAAAACTTGATTTTGTGGCCCTTGACATTTTGGGCAAGAATTATTGATCATGAGTGCTTGATGCTAAGTTAATATCATCTATTTTTCATGCCTCGAATATGCTCTCGCAGTAGCATATCGAGAAAAAGAGTTTAAGAAATATTTTGGATCGATTTCATACTTGTTAATGGCTAAATAAAATGAAAAAGAATAAATCTCATCCAATCGGATCTACTCCATTCCCCGAAGTGAATGTGACAATTTATAATAATTTTAGACATGGATGAAGATGTGGTCATAGCCATGGATATGGTCAAAATAATTATCATTTATAATTGTGATGACCATAATATTACATCTTACCACCGAAGTGGATAACTATGAAAAAAGAAAAGAAAAGAATGAAAATAGATAATGTCGACATTCCGAAAATGAATGTTATAAATATGGTATGAATGAACATTAATCGTGTACCTGTCGTACACCAAAGCACCTCGTCAAGCCTTATCAAACCTCATTGAAAAAGAAAAATAAAATAAAATATGGAGGCTAATTTTATATATCAAAGTAATAGTAATTGAAATTAATTCCTTGTTAGTTTTTATATTTATAAATAAAATGTTTTATATTTCTTATAATTTATGTTGTATATTGATGGTTACAAATTTATTTTACTATTTATTTATTTGTTTATGTTTATGAAGCATATATTGATTTATTTATTTTGTATTGATTTATTTGATTATTTATTTTATGTTAATATTATATATGATAATATCAATCCAATAGAAAGCTCCGGAAGAGCGACTATATTATTATCTAAAGAGATAGATTTTAAAGGCTCTGGAAGAGCAATTATATTATGACTTGAAGAGATAAATTTTTGAAGCTCTAGAAGAGTGAATAAATTATTACTTGAAGAGAAAATTTTTAAAGGCTCTAAAAGAGTCGATATATTATTACTTGAAGTGACTAATTTAAAGGCTCCGGAAGAGCAAATATATTATTATCCGAAAGGATAAATTTATTATAAAGGATATACTATTCTCTTCAAAGACTCATATAAATTTATTGAGTTTCAAAGATATTCATCTAAATTGATATCATATCAAGATAGCAAATGTGAATACTTGTATATTATAATCATTATACCGGGTAGAAAATATGTATTGAAAATTCACTTGCTTTCTCTTTTAGTCTTTATTACAAATATTGAAATGATTGAAACAAATATTATAGTAAACCGAAGTTTACCAATTCAAGTACTTTTATTATGTGACATGACAAATTGTGCTATCTTGGGTCTTTCATTATGTGAAAAATTATTAAAAATTCATATTGACATCTATTGAAGAGCCGAAGATTCTTCAATTTAATGAACTTTCATGTGCTTGCATATTGCCAAGGCAAATTGATGATTAAGCCATCATCAAGTAAAATTTAGATTGAATCTCTAGTATTTTAATATGTATTCAAGGTGATATATGTGGATCAATTCATCCACTATGTGGACCATTTAAATATTTTATGATTTTGATGAATACATCAACAAGATGGTCATATGTATACTTATTATCTACTCGAAACCCGACGTTTTCGAGATTGCTAGCAAATAATTTGATTTTGAGCATAATTTTTAAATTATGCCATTAAAATAAATCACCTTGATAATGCTGATGAATTTATTTCTCAAGCATTAAATTATTATTGATTGGCTATTAAAATAAAGGTTGAACATCCCGTTGCTCATGTTCATACTCAAAAAGGTTTAGCAAAATCATTTATCAAAAGACTCCAATTGATAGCTAAACCATTATTTAAAAATAAAACTCTCTGTTTATGTTTGGGGATATGCAATCTTACATACAGCAACACTTATTCGCATATGATCCATAAGTTATCGAAATTCTCTCCTCTTCAATTGATTTATGGTCATGAGCCAATTATTTCTTATTTAAGAATTTTTGGCATTGCGAGTGTATATCCTTAGTGCTCCTCTATAATGAAATAAAATGATCACTTAAAAGAGATTGGGAATATATGAATCCTCTTCGATAATTCAATCTCTTGATTCATGAATAAGAGGAAATTTTTATAGCTCGATTTATCGACTCGTCATTTTGATGAAATAGTTTTTTTAACATTAGGAGGAGAGAATAAGCAAAATAAGCGAGTTGGAAATGTTGAAAAAAAAAGATTACATGGAGTACTCTATCTTATATCACCTTGATTCTTGTAGAATTAATGTGAACTAGAAGTTCAAAAGATAATTCATTTACAAGGTATTGAAACTAACCGCGGATGCTTTCTCGGATCTTAAATGAGTAACTAAAATACATATCCCCGCCGAGAATGCTCCTATTATAATTAATGTCTCGAAGGATAATCTATTAATATTATAGCTAATGAATTTAAAGCACGTCCGAAGCATGGAAGATCGATCGGTTTTAAAGATAAAATTTCCTAAAAGAAAAGGGCAAGATGAAAATATTCGCAAAACGGTCTAATATATTTCGATAATAGGCTTCGGAAGAAGTCTAAATACTTGAGAAAAATCAAGAGATTTTGATAAATTATATCAATGCAGGGAGAAAATAGGATCGAAAAGAAACATCTATTAATAAGATTTTTGCATATAATATTACAATTGATATTATGGATGAAAATAAGGATCCCGAGCCTAAATTATTGAAGAATGTCGACATAAAGATGATTAGCCTAAATGAAAAGAGCAATGTAGGCGAATTATGTTCTCTTATAAAAAAGTAGTTTTTTTAACCCATAGCTAAAACACTCGAAGATGTTAAGCTAGTGGGATACAAATATGTATTTATGCGAAAATGAAATAATAAAGATGAGATTATAAGATATAAAAGAAAACTTTTAACACAAAAGTTTTCGTAAAGAATTGACATTGACTATGAGGAGACATATTCTCCTATAGTGGATGCAATTATCTTTTGTTATCTCATTAGCTTGGAAAAATGTATGAAAAACATTCAAATGCATGCATTTAATGAATCCGATCATAGTTTATTTATTCATTTGAAATGATATCGGTATGAAAGTCCTAGAAGGACTTAATATGCCGAAGCATGTAATACATATTCTCGAGAAAAAAAAATTCAATTAAATTATAAAGATCTCTATTAGGATTATTTTAGTATTTGTTTTATTATTTTGGATTTTAAAAATTCAATTTATACTTTTTATATTTTATTTTTATATCTACTCGTTTATTACTAACCCGTGTGCATGTGATATAATCACTTCAATGATTATTTATTGAAAGAAAGTTATAAAAAAATAACCTTATTTGTTCATATATTTTTATTTGAAAAGGGGTTTGTTTTATATGTTGATAACTTAGATATTATTGGAACTCCCAAAGAGATTTCAAGTGTCATGAATTACCTAAAAAGAGAATTTGATGTGAATATCTTAAGAAAATAAAATATTATCTCGACTCGTAGTTTGAGCACTTAGAAAATGAGATTTTCATTCATCGGTCAATTTATATCGAAAAAGGTTC